GTTGAGACAAATTCATGTTGAGTTTGGTGTGAATGCAGGCAGGCAGCGGGCAAGGACATCAAAATCTGGCAAATCTTTCTGCTGTTCCAGTGTCGGACTCGTGGCTGGCACCGTTTGAGTGCTGTGTGGCTGCACTGGAAGTTTTGATGCTGAATGAACAATCGCCAGGGGGATGCGTTTGCATTGCTACGGGTGCCAAAAAGAGATGTCCCACCCCCCACCCAATCACACATGTGCGTGCGCACACACACACTCCCCTTGGACTGTTTTCAAAAACTTCTGGTACCTATTCCAGTACAGGAAGGTTTAAAACTCAGTAGGCTTGTAAAGTCTTTTTTTATATATTGTATGTAAATGCTTGTTGAAGTGATATTTTATTAAACAATTTTGCTCTAATAGCTTCTCCGTGTGAGGTCTGTTGACTTCTTGGGAACCAGCCTCTCTTCACCTTACCCAGCATGTCACCTTTGACTCGCAGGAGCAGTTGCAGCCAGTCTGGGAGCATAAGGCTCCTCCCAGCAAGCCAGCTGTCTTCCCTCCTCTCTGCGGGTAAAGCTGGCTAAGGGTGGGCTGCCTGACTGAGTCCCTCTCCATGAGGATCCTGGCACCCATCCACCGTGCTCAGGTGGACAAGGCATTCTCCTGCCAGCCTGGCTCCAGAGCGAGCCTCCCTGCTGAACGAGCTATGTCCGCCTGCATAGGGACGGGCATGAAGGCAAGGTTTTTCTTATCTGATGGGTGCAATAGAAACCAAAGTACTTGCTTGTGATCATCTATTAGTGATAGCCTTTCCACTGCTCCTGCTCAAGATAGAGCAAGAAGGAAACGTGAGCTTCTCGTCAGGTGTCTGAGTTGCCTCACTGCCTTGTTGTCATTTTCCCTGTTCTTCAAGAATACTAAAACCACTATTTTTTCTTAGGGTTCTTCTAGGTGGGAAGGGAAGGCCAGCTCTGAGTTACTCTGATCCTGAGCCCTGGATGTAAAAATACCAAGCAGCTTCTATTTAAACATGCTGTTGTCACACGCAGCTCTGGACTGTGAACGGCAGCCAAGCTGCGCATAGCCGCAGCTATGTTGCGTTCTCAACAAACAACCAAACTGAGACTGCAATTTGTTCCAGTCATTTATTTGTATCATGGTATTTCAGAGCAGTGAATACAGATGGTTTGCTCTTCTAGGCTTCAGTACACTCATCTATTGTGCCTAGACTACAGTGGTCTGTTTATAGAAGCTGTATTTAATAATTAATTGTACTTGATCACCGCACAAAAGTCCTTACGGCTAGATCTAATGACAGAGTTAGGAGCCTAGTGGGTTCAAAGTCTGATATTGAGGTGTCTGGGCCCTGTTATGGACTTGGCACCCACTGAGGTGCCTGGACTCCTGCTACAGTGGACGGAGAGACTTAGGCAGCTCTGAAGGGTGATGCAGGAACCTGTCTACCAAGCTCTGCCTACAGGTCACAGGAAATTCTGCTGCACGGGTGAGAGCATCTGGAAAGCCATCTCGCCCTGGGGTCCAGACACAGCATGCCTGCAAGTGAGAGTCTGGAGTGCTCTGTGGAAAGTGGGTGCCTGTACCTTGTTCATTGAGGGCACCTAAATCAGTTCTTGGATCTAGCCCAGGGCTTTGTGATAGGCCTCTGGGTACCAGAGCATTGAATTATGCTGGGTTCATAACATATTGCTTAAAGGTGTTCAGTTATACATAACAAATTTATAAATTCATTTTTATATCAACAGTCAGATGTTCCAAATGAATATTGCTCTTTTAAAAATCCTATTCCTGTAGCAATCCCTGAAATAATGTTCCTGTAACATCTTTATTGTCATGCAAATAGCAGCGTGTAGGCAATCCCAATATAAAGTAATCAAAACTCTATCCAGTGGGAAGGTGAGGCACTTAGGCAAAGTGACTTGTAGTCACTCAGGATCTACGGCAGAACTAGGAACAAACCCCAGATCTGATTCCCATTCTTGAGCTTGAGCCAGTGGACAGGTGAATGTTATCTGAAACTACTGCAGGATGGCAGCATTACCTTTGCTGTGTCAAGATGGTCTTGTTTCATGTGTCACATTTAAGCTCGCTCTTTTGAGCTTATTTCCTGTACCTCCCACTCCAGAAGCCAGAATGAACTTGGTTCCACCTCTGCATTTTGATACTGAGGACGGATTAGAGGAGGGTAAGCATTCTAAAAACATCAAGTTGACTTTTCACAGACACAGGTGCAATGCTAAGACAATGTAGATGATGTTTTGGTACAGCAAATAAAGTCTGTTAACCAGGCCATCTGTTGGTACTGCATTTTACTTTTTGGTGCACGGGATGGTGTGTTCTAGGAGCAATCTGGCTTTCCTGAAAGTCTAGAGAAGGACTGAAAAAAACACATAGGAGCTCTGCAGGTGAGTCCGTGCTCTGGCACCTGCTGGAGCTGCAGTGTGTTACTGAGGTGATGGGGGAATTCCTTTTGAAGCAGCCTTAAACGTTTCTCTCTCTCTTTCTTCTTTCTCAAACCCTGAACAGCATACGGACCTGCCCTTGGGGTACCGGGCACAGCACTTCCGCATTTCCTGAAGCACAGCTTCACACTTAGACTCCACGTAGTTGTTCGCTGGAAAACAAAAAAAGAAGGGTGACGCTAAGTCTACGCTGGGGAGCAATTTTTAATCCCCAAAGGGGACACATCTAGCCCAGCCCTTCAAATGCTGCTCAGTGTGGCTTTTCACTGAAAAGCTAGAGCTGCTTACAGACGTTTCATTGCTTTCCCTGCTCTACAGAATCTCTCATGAGTTTCATTTGTCTGAAGCCCCCTCCCCCAGCCAGCCTTGCTGTTGTCCAAGGGAGCACCTTCAGTCCCCTAGTTTTGTGGCTATTACATGTCACTACAGTAAGAATGGAGTTTCCCTTGGTGCTGCCCTTCAATCCTTACTTTCTTTAGCTTTTGAAGCTGAATCTTGTGATCCTCATTCTTAAGTCCAACTGCCATGTTACTATAAGGTTTACAACTGATACAAGAGCATCCAGAGAGGACTTGGTATAAGTACGGACACGTGCACGCTTCATTGCAGTGCTGTTTGTAAAAGGAAAGGGAGAAGTATGACTACAACCGTCCTACTGGTGGCCTGTAATTTTGGTGGCGGGCAGGGATGGAGTTTTGCAAAGTACTCTGAGCTTCCCATCTCAACGCCGTGCGCTAGCAGGAGCGCTTATCCAGCTGTCGGCAACTGAAGCCAAACTGCACGGAGCCAGGGGGTGACCACCTTCTACACGCTGGTCCCACCTCTAGCTCGGGAAGTCCTGAGGCCAAATAACTTGTCCTCTTCTCGCTCTGCCCTAGGTTT